GGGGAACTCAAACAGATTCACTCTTCTTGGGCAACAGTCTGAGCTTTAATCCTCTAGAGCCACAGGAACTACATGATGGTTCTGCTAAGATTTTCCCTATTTCAGCCTGGGACTGATGCAGTGTCCTAGAGTCAGAAGTGTGGGATTTGTTACTTGTGAAAGAGAAAGACTAGCTAAAGCAAAAGACTAGGTACTGAGGAACTGGGACTCTTTTCTGTCCCTCTCCCTAAGACACTTTGAAAGTCACTGCTACTCTTTAGATGCTTTCCAAGTAGCTTTCCAGTTTAAGATATCCAACATGTGACTTTAAGAACTGCTGTGCACTAACTAAAAATCTCATTTTCCCCTCTAGTCCCACCTTGGAATTATTCCTCGTTCATCTCGCATGGATTTTCACCAGCATCCTCTGTGCCACAATCTGTTTACTGCTTCTACCCAACACTTTGTTATATTGGCAATATGACCCAAAATCTCAGCAGACCCTGTTCCTCTCTGATCCAAATTGCCAGCAGGTCTCAAAAGTCTTTTCTTAGCATCTTCCTGTTTCAGAGTATGTCCTAATGCTGCTGGCAACACAAGTGAGACTTGGATCTTCTCTTGAGTGCTAATCACAACTTACAGTTGCCTCATTGCAATTTCTCACTTCTCTTACATCCCATTTTAATACTGCTGTGTAAAACCTTAGCATGCCTTTGTTTCCTTCTGTGGAGGCACACATGCACACTTATGCAAAGTCTTATGTCAAAAGAGACTACAAAGTCAGTGCTCAGGTAGGCTATGTGGGAATTAGTGTTGATTCTGCAGCTGTAACTTGCCCCCTTTGGTGTGTATATGTTGTGATTCAATTTTTAATTGAGGAATTGATTACATGCTATTTTTCCCTAAGACTTCTTCCATCCATCACCAGTGTATGCTGTGCCCCACAGAGGAAGCAAGATGAGGTACTGAAAGTTGTTCTTTATGCAATTCCCAGTTTCTACCAGAGATCATTGGAAGAAGAATATTCTACAAGTTGAATGCTACACCAGGGAATTAAATTGCATCCTTTTCTATGCCAAATAATTCCTATGCAATTCTAGAGAAGTCATGTACAGCTGTAAACTGAAGTCAGCGGTTTAGCTTTTAATGGTAATGTGATCTATAAAATTAAGTGCTTTATAAAAAGTCCAATCCCAGACAGCTCAGCCTGGACACCAAAACAAACTTATCTTAACCTTAGTCTTTCCATTTCTCAAGTTTTTGTTTAGAACATGCAAAGAATAGCTGTCCCTTATGTCAGCCAGCAATGTGAAAATAAGGGTTTTTTTCAAAATCTTTTCCTGTAATGGTGATTTCATAAGACTGAAGAAATTTTAGTAATTTTCTATTCTGAGTAGAGCTCAAATAGCATAGAGTAATAGGATGCAGATCTGCCATCAAGTAGTGAGGATATAACAAAATAGTAAAAAGTCACATGCTGGGGGTGAGTACCACTCACTCTGAAAAAAACAGTATGTGTTCACATCATTACAGACTATATAATACTGCATGTACAGAAGGAAAATTGCAATCATACAAAGATTCTGAATTCTGTTCTTCCAAAATAGTTGCTTGATTTAAAATATAAAAATTGTCTATGTGATGGAAGTAGAGGAAAATGGAGGGTTATACACAAGGAATTGACACAGTTTAATACAGCATTCTGGGGGCAGGGGGGGAAGGAGTCAAAATTTCACCATGTGGTATCACAAGGCTCATCAGCAGAGTTGCTATAATTAGATCCACAGCACAGTCATTTGCCACTTCTGCTAATGAAGTGACTGTTTGATAACAGGAGTAGACTGTCAGCTTTTACAGTAACTGACCCTGCAGAGGAAGCAGGGTAAGCAGTGTACTTCTTACCTTTTAGTCAGGCTTAACTCCAAACTCTTGGAAGAGCTTCATGAGAGCAGAGACCCTTTTCTGGTATCTGACTATCCTAACCAGGAGCTGTAATTTCAGGTAATTACCCATTTAATCTCTGCAGTCCAGCAAGGTGATACACTTGTTCTGGAGGGCTGGCTCCTGCACAGTCCAGTCATGCATTGGGGCTAGCTCACAGGCTCACCAAAACTAGCTTTTGCTGTTCTTAGAGAGCTGTTCAATCTCCATAGAGTGTATTCAAGAGAAGAATCTCAGATTTACATGGATTTCTTTAAAACAGGAAAAGTAACCTAACAGAGGCAGGTCTTGCCTTATTTCAGGCTGTTGTTCCAAGTCAGATGCACCAGAGAAATAATTGTATTTGTGCTTAAAATAACACACGGTTCTTCCTAATCTTGAAAAGAAATGGCTGAAATACTTGAGCTGAAGTTTTCAGACAAAATACAGCTTGAGGCAAAGATTTGGCTTTGAAAACTTCAACCTAGATAGCCAAGATATAACAAAGTTGAAAAGCAGAAGACAGAAAGGTATATTGAGTGCACCTACAAGTGTCAGGTGCCATCTGCAGTAAGTTACTGCTATCAGAAGGCTAAATTTTGCTGCTGAAGTTATAGGGAACAACCCTTGTTTTCTAAGCTTCTGGCTCAGAAGGAAGACCCCACTTCTGCTACAGCCCTTGTAGAATTACTTCTGATTTTTCTAGGCACTTTTCCTAGTTTAAAAAGGGGCTGGTGTGTTGCAGCGAGGACTGAGGTGCCTGAAAAGCCTTACATTTCTGTAATCATTTACTGTAGCACTAGTTGTCTTCTAAATGATGCTCAGCTGTCCTTGTATTGCTTCCCCCTCCTAGCTGTAATCACTCTAAGCTTATCAACAGGCCTCTCAAACAGTCAAGTGGGTTGTGTTAATGGGTTGGATGGAGAGATGCATCCATTTAAAATGTAACTGCACTCTTGTGAGGGTGTTAACAAGTAGCTGCTAAGAAATCCTGATACTCCGCAGTTACCACTGAAAACTGAAGATTGGCATTAAAGGCATGATGAAATCTTTGTAAAGGGTGGAGACCTCGTGGTTAGAAAATTGAAATTTGTCACTCGCTGCATGTTCATTTTAGAGCCACACTCTGCCACTTGCAATTCTGCAAGTCTGGACCTCTAGGACTGCCCGTGACCCTTTTTTTACATCTTGCTGTGGGCTGTAGTATTTTAGCATTTCAGCTTCGATGCCTCAAGTGCTGGATCCAGAAGTTCCATCTGACGCAATGAGAAAGTAAGCAGTGACCTGTCCCAGCCCAGGCTGGTGAAGCGAGGCTAAATAGAAGATGACGAGTGTGAGCCTGGTGGGAGGAACAAGTCAGAGAAAGCAAACAGTTTGCTGCCTTGAGCTTGCCGATAGCTTTCAGCAGAGCTGGCTGAGGAGGGGGAGGCGGAGAGCTGCCTGTGTGAAGGGAAGGAAGTGACAGCGTAGTCATTAGCAGACTGTGACCCTCTGTCACAGGGGCTCCCGAAATAAACGATGATTGTCTCGAAGCATGAGGCTGGATAGAGACCTCTGTGTTAATTTAATAAATTGCTTGCATTTAGGACCCCAGATTGTTGCTGTTACATTTTTGCTATGTGATGCCACCTGGGATTAACAAGGAGGAGGAGGGGATGGGGGGGTGGGGAGGAAGAAAGCAGCCCAGGTCTGTTAGCAACCGCTGGTGTGACCTCACTCCTTGTCCCAGGGGGGATATGAGATCATGAGAATGCCAGAGCTCTCTGAAGGATTCGATTTGTTCAGTACAGCAGGATGGCCTACCGAGTGATCTCATCTCCGAGACCCTAGGGAAGGGCGCTAGCTGCTGCTAGCCTCATGGACTGCAGAGGACTTAATCCCCACTCCAAATCTCACCAATTAATGATTGACCTGGTGACATCACTGATGACAAAGCTAACTGGGACAACACAGCAAAATTCCAGGGGAATTTCCCCTTCTCCATGATCTTATCAAATAAGATAATTTTGACATATCAAAAGCAAATCTTTCAGTACAGACAATGCCATTGCAGACTAAGCACAGTTGTGGGCTCACAGATTGCCTTGACCTAGTGCCCTGTCACCAGTTTTCCCTTTTAAACAGGTCCTCCTTAAGACTGGGAGGCCCTAACTTAGATAGCCTTATTTAGCCAGCTTCTTAGCCCTAGTCTTAGGTACTTTAAAATAGAAATTACGTGGTAAGAAAAATCTATTTGAGTTGTCACACCTCAGGGTTGCAGTAAGCCAGGAGGGAGTTTGTTACCTTGCGGGTGTCCTTCAAGGAAGGCAGGCTCTAACTGGAATAAACACCAGAATGGCAAGGACAGCTTTGGTGAAGGCTTACAACGAATGTTGCCCATTCTTTGAGTCTCTTTTGAGAGAACTGTTTCAACCAGCATGCTTTCCCCCTCCTCCCCTTTTCTTCCTTAAGGTCCCCAGGAAGGTTTAGTATCTCTGAGTTTAAAATGCCTTGAGGGTTTTTTTTCCAGAGCCAGTCTTTTTATCTGTATACTGTACAAGAGCCAACACATACCTGAGTGAAAGAGGAAGGATGGTGGCAAATAGATAGTTAATTTGCTTCTTTGTGATGATCTAGAAAGTTGCCAAGATGACTGATGTCACCTTACATTTAAATCCCTATACCTTCAGAAGGGGTATGAGATCAAAGAGACCTACCTTGCATTCCTTCTCATTAATAGTTTCTATAATTTACATCATATTAACCCCTGTAAGTCTTAACCTCTGCTGCTGGTGTTCTGTAGCATTGCACAGGTACGCAATACAGTGTATATCCATAACCTCCTCTAAAAGTTTTAGAATTCAAAAGTGTAGAACAATAGCTGGATAGGTGACAGAGCAAGAGCAACACCAAGAAACAATGAAGTGATCGTTATCCTTTCTAAGCACAGAGTTAAATGGCTGCAGAAGAAAGCTGCATCCCATGAACACTGGGCTTTGCACCACTTAACAGAGCGCGTAGGTGGACAGTGAACACAAGTCTGATAAGCTTCAAGCCCTGCACCTCAGTGCTCTTCTTTTGATTTCCTGATAGTAATCATGTATCACTTGCTTGTTTTACAGGGAAAGTTTTATCTGGTTATTGAGGAGCTGAGCCAGCTGTTCCGCTCACTTGTCCCCATCCAGCTATGGTATAAATACATCATGGGAGATGATCCGTCCAGTAGCTACTTCCTAGGTGGGATCCTGATCATCCTGTATAGCCTCTGCAAGGCGAGTACCACCTTATTAATAGCCTCTACGGGAGCTGTAGCAAAAGCAGAGAAGCACAGCTGTAGGGAACAAACACACCTTTTGATTGTTGCTATCACTACCCAGGAAAGGAAGCTGCAGCAGCTGGGGACACCATGTGCTTTAGTTGCCAAAAGCATTTTGCTTCCCCAGTATGTGGGCACTGGCGATCTGTGACTGCTCATGTAGTGTTGCATCAAGCTGATGAAGTCATTGCTGCTTTCTAATACCTTTCTATAAGGGCTAGAGGAGAACGGGAGGGGAGTCTTGGGGGACTGGAAGGCAGGCTAGCTGTCTCCAGACTTCTAGATGCAATGCTGAAAGAAAGGTTGCAAACAGTTAAGTGTTTCTCTCTAGGCCTTCCTATGTCTTTCAAGGCAGGGTAGGTACTCTGTCACTCACAGTACTGAATGCAGCAGGGGGAGTGAAGGACATACAAGTCCTGCCTAGATAAAACAGGTAGTTCTGGCCCCATTCTAGGTCCTGGTCTGACTGATACAAGTCCAGGATCTCACTGATGGAGAAGAGTAATGTTTCCTCAGAAATAAGAAGGTTAAGAGGACAAAGTCTGCCTGTACAATTGTAAATGAATGGGTGTGACTTTCTTACTCAGAAGAGTCCCAAGTCTGAGGTCTAGAAATAGTTGTATTTCTAATTGTGTGTATTGAACCCTGCCCAGGGGCAGAGCAGTAGCTGAAGCAAGCGATATACCTGTGTTATCCATCCCTCTGAGAAAGACCAAATGAACCAAGCTTGCTAGAGCTCTGATGCTTGTCTCTGCCTAGGAGAAAGGGGCTATGGCTTTGCAGAAGCAGACTGAAGAACAGAAGAGAGACTATATCCGAGCTGAAAACAGCTCAAAGGGGCTAACAGATTGCTGAGCAATATGAAGTCATACTATAGTTCTTACATGAGACATGGCTTCAGTTGCAGCTGCACGTTGTGTAGGAATGCAGCAATGCAACTCCTGCTGTCAAGGAGTTTACAGTTTTTGTAGACAAGACAGACAGAGGAGGTCATGGGAAGTGACATGGCTTGGTCACAGCAGGTCTTGTGATCTAAGCCAGAAACAGGGCAAACATGCCAGAATAGAAGGCACATGAGACCAGTGTAGTTCCTCCCTGACACCCATCCATTCTCTCAGCTTTATGTTTCCTGCTCTTTACTCTGTGCTGTGGGAGAGGATTATTGCCCATTTCAGAGATGTCATTGTCTGGCTCTGCTCTAGACAATGGTATCCAACCCTTTCATGCCCTTCTGGCTTGTGAGGTCAGGTATACAGATCACAGTTACAAGCACAGATTGTACATGGACTTTCTGGTATCCCTTCTTGCCAAAGTTATACAACACCTGGAAAATAGTTGCTTACCTGCAGTTCTACATACCATTTCTTACATCTGGAGAAGTCCTCATAGTGTGAAGAAGCGGTGGGGGCCATCTGCTCCTCAGAGGAAGGAGAGCCAAGCACAAAAACACAGCTGGCAGGGCGAGGGTCTCACAAGCCAGGGCTGAGCCCACAGCACCCAAACAAAGCAAGTAGGGCAGTCCTGGAAGCAGTAGCCAGGTTCCAAGAGTCCAGACATTCATGTGGTGAGGCAGGTCCAAGATAAAGCCAGAACATCAATCCACAGGTCAGGATCAGATCTGGCAAAGGCAGCCAGGGTCACACAGTCAAACAGTTGCAGCACATAGCTATAGCGATGAGACAAGCTCAAGGAGAGAAGTCACTCCATGTGCTGGGGTGTCCAGATCAGTGGGATTTGTAGCTAGGCACAGGCATGGCTATGGCTGAGCTAGAAACTAGCACTCACACAGCACAGCTCAAACATGGACAAAAGCCTTCAGGGCTGAGCTTAAATAGAGCTCCAGGGCCTATGGGTCTGGGATTGTGGGTGTAGACCCCAGGTGAGGCTTATCAGGGCCATGAAGGCCTATTAATGCACTCAGGGTCCTGACACATAGGTGCAAGCAGTTCTTTATGGGCTAACTTGAAGTTTCTTTACTATGAAGCCTTTTTAAGTAGTGTTATGATAACCTGGATTGGAAAAGCAACCTCATTTTGAAAAGTTCTGCTGACCTGTTGTTTAGAAGCTCCATGAGGAGAGAAGGCCAGCTGTTTACTGGCCTTGACTATAATTTAGGACCAGGACTGTGGGGCGCATTTGTGTGAAAGTGTCTTAGCTACAGCCTGTGCCTTTAAAGTACATGTTTCTTCCTTTAATTCATCTAGTTCATCAGAGGTGTAGATGGATGAATAGGCCAGCTGAAGGGTGATAGGTCCAGGAACATGTCCCAGGTCATTGTGTGGCAGCTACTTAGTACTACAGATGTGTGCAGGTTAGGATTAGACCACTGCACGCTGGAGACTTTGCTTGGAAGTGAAAGAAAAGGGAGAGCACATTCTTCCAATACAGATCATGAAATCATAGGTGCGTGCATCCCATTTACAATCACAAGAGTTGCAGGTCTAATTCCTTGCCTGAGACACTGAAAATATACCCAAAGGAGTCCACATTAGCAAAGCCACAAACCACATTAAAAAACCACAGAAGCCAATTTGGCACTCAGACCTTCTGTGCTCCTGGCAAAAATCCAGGGCTCAGCTAGGGCTGCATCCCCTTCCCCTACACAAAGGGCAGGCTTGACTCTCAGAAGGTTGTATATAGTGCAGCTGATGGGAGCTGTCTTGGTGCCTCTGTCTGGACTGTGTAAACATGAACCCCTGATTTTGGTGAAGAAATCACCAGTAAGGGCATCCGGGTCTTATTTTTTCCCTATCCCAAACAGAAGCACTCACGGAATTGTTGAGTTGAACCCAATTGTTGCAGTCCTGTTGCTAGAAAGATGACAGTTGCAACATAGACTTCAGTGCACGGGGTGATAAATGGGTGTTAAAGAGATTACTGAAACACGTGTCTTTTGGGGGTACAGGAAACTCCAGAGGAAAAAAAATGGAAGCGGGGAAATGGACTGGGAGAAGAGGAGACACCGGAGCCAGAGGAAAGGCATTAGAAGTCATGCTATAAGCAAAGCAACCACAAAAAGCTGTGAATTGGGCTGTGGAAAGGAGCTGATCCCTATCCTTATTAGAGGATAAAAAGTCTGTAGCAGTCGGTAGCCTCACGTGCTAGTTGCTGACTGAAAGCATTACTGGTAGGACCCTGGGAGCCTTTTTACATGCTGACTGGAAGTATTATTGGTGCCTTCATTTGATTCCACATCTATTGCACGATGATCTCATTGGCATTCCCTGCAGTGAGCCCACTTAATCATGCTAACCAAAAAAAAATAGAAAACCAAATCCAGGCATTCTGGTGCCTGCTGGTACAAACTGCTAGTCCACTCGCTCCGCATACTCTCCATCACATCTCCCCTTACCCTCACTCAGGTGAGGAATGGAAAGGTCTGTTATGTCATCTGGCCCTTCTCCCAACTAATGCAGGACTGTTCTTTGCACAATCATTTCTTCATATCTTGTCTAGTTCATAGTGTCTTTCTCCCCGTGTCCTGACAGGTAGGGAGGATGAAGGTGGCCTACCAGATTAAATTTTTCAAACTGTCTTCCCTTTTATTAGTACTACCATGCCTTTGTGTGTTCAGCCCCTTGATATTTGTAGGCACTTTATCACCTTTTCCCCCCACTTTTATACTGCTCAACCAAGCTGTAAATATTTATGTCTTTCAGTCTCTTTTCAGAAATCCTTTTCTGCAGGCTCGTTTTCTGCCCTTCTCTGAACTGCTTTTAGTCTTTAATGAGGAGCCCAGAGTGAGCATTGCTCTCCAGATGCAGTTACATCATGTTTGCTGGGAAATGGAGGAAGGGGGGGAGAAAAGAACCTGGTGTTGCCCCTGCTGTTGGCCATCTTTGAACGTCTGCAAAGTACCAAGGTGCTGGAAACTCACTCCCTTCCTGGCATTTGAAGTTTCTCACTCTTTAGGGCAGATGGGAGCAACTCAGCCTCAGTCCTGCTTCTCGTTCCTCAGGCCATTCTTCTCTTGGTAGCATTTCATCACTGCAGTCCACTGAATTACTCTCTGCAGCAGGACAGGCAATTCCCACTCCTTCTTTCATAATATCATCTGGGCCCTGAAGTGTCGAGCTGTGTGGCAGAGCTGCACAGCCCTGAAAATCCCCCTTTTCCCCAGAGGCTGAGGAAAGCCGTTTTCTGCTTCTTCCATGTGAAAAGACTGCCCTTCCTTCCCTCTTTCTCAAGCTAGCCGCAGAAAAAGGGTTTTCTAACCTCCCTTCTGGGCTTTTCAGGTACTAAAACGGGTCCATTTTAGCCCTTCCCCACCTAGTGGGCTCAGCAGTCTACCATACCACAACCCCCTAATGTCTGCTCCTCCTTCTGTCCTGTAAAGTCCCTGATTTTCAGCCCACTGTTATCAGAGCTTTTTTGGCTACCCTTCCACACTGTCAATTCACGTTTATTACGTATTTCGTCATCACCATGAAATCTTTTTTGGCATCATTGTTACTTAAGATTTTTGCTCCCTCCGAGTATCCATTTGGAGGAACTGTGTCACACGTTCCCTGAGTTTCTGGATGGTATACACGCACGCACATGCACACACACACACGTTTTGTGGCAAGTATCTAAAATGCAATGTCTTTACTGCAGTCTTTTGACATCTGTGGCCGTGTGGGAAGTGTCCGGAAGGCACTGAAGGTCCTTTGCACCCCACAGGTAAGTAGTTGTACATAGTAGACCAGTTTCATAGGTGGAACCTTGCTACTGTTGAATGATGGAGTTGAAAATTGCTCAGTGTATCAGGCTCATAGAATAAAATAATTTGTTGTTCCATGGCTGGGTAAGCTGGTATCTCTTGCGAGGGGTATTAGGAACCTTTTCTCATATTTGCCTTGTCCCAGCTACGGTAAGAGATTGTTGCTGGTCTGGCCTGTTTTGGCTAATTGGAAGGCCTGTGTCATATGGATTAATCCACTGAGGCCAAAACTGCAAGAAGCTGACAAAACTTGGTAGTGCAAGAGTGTGAGAAAGACTGTAAATAGAAGCATGCAGCTCCTGATGTGCAGCTACATTAAAAGAGATCCTGCAGTGCACAGAAATTATCCCAGGCATCGCATTATACAGTACTGATATTTAGATCTGTTGCAGTGAAATACTGTGACTTAAATTTTAAAATGGTAAAATCAAAGACTGTAGAGGAAAGGAACATAACTGCATAGAAGTTTGTTAGAGCTTGCCTTGTTTATTCTGTGGGCTTGGGCTGGTCATTTTTCCTCAGCATGTTTCCATTTCCCCTATTACTGCTACAATAGGAGAAGCAACATTTACCTTCCACATATTTAAAAAGAAAAGTGGGAAGCCTGTGGGTGCTGCTGATGTTATTCTTTCTTCTATTGTCTAACGTGCTAATAATAATACCTCCCACTATCTAAACACCTCTGCAAATGATGCTGAATTAATCCTTTCAGCTCCCTGTTGAGCTCATTAAATTTCATTATCATTGCTCCACAAGTGGAGGCACTAAAAGATGGAGTCAGCTCGAGGGGAAAACAAAACAGAGAATACAGAGCTCCAGACTCCCTGTGTTCCATGTGCTGCTCCCCAAATCTCCCTTCCCCATACACAGTGACATAACACTGGTGTCCTTCCTAGGTCATGCAGAGAATCTGGGTGTGAAAAACAGTGTCTATATATATATGCTTAACCACAAACCAGATTAACTTCAAACCTTTGACATTGGGATTTTTTTCCACCTCTCCCTAACAGACCTATGGAGTTCGTGCTACCAGCCAGCAGTGCAGTGAGGCAGGTGACATCTGTGCCATTTGCCAAGCAGAATTCAGGGAACCTTTGATCCTTATGTGCCAGGTAAGACCCCGAGCGTCCCACGTCAGGTTCCCCTGTTGGCACTCATTTGATTAACTCCTGCAGCTGGGGAGAGACACAGTTAGCCTAGGTACTTCCAAAATCATTTGTTGCGTCTTGATCTAGGTCTCAGTGGATGTTAATTGCCCTCTTCCAGATAGCCAGTGATTCATGATCGCTGAGCCACTCTTTAGGGGATGATCATAGCTATTCAGATGGAAAAGACCAGCCTTGTAGTCCAGGGACTGCCAGTTGGCAGTCCAGCCTTGGATCTAGAATGCAAGACATTTTTATCTGACCCCTGGGGAGACTGGCTAGTCAACAGGCCAACCGAATTACGAGCAAGTGCTATGAGAGGGGCATAGATCCAGAATGAGCCTGGTAGGATGCATGAAGACTGGTGCAGCACCATGTAATCATGGTCTGGAGTCTGAACACCTGGCCAGGAATAAAATTAGTCCTGCACATAGAAGTTGGTCACCGCTGCCAGCACCTGGGAATTGTCCTGCTTCTGATTTGGTAAACACTGACAAAACCTAAAGCTTAAGAATGGCATGCTCTGAGTGATGCAGCAGTCCGAATCGGGTGCTGATAAAACCCTTCGAACACACCACACTGCCATGGGCTCTTAATATCTCAGAGACCAGCTGAAGGCATTGCCTCGTCGTGATACTTCCACAAGATTTTCTCTTCAGTTGCTTGACCAAAACTTGGTCAAGCTTTGTCTGTTGAAGTCGAAATCCTGCATCCTGCAGGCTGTCTCTGGCTGATGTGTGGGTGCATGCAGGAAAACCTTAGGCAGAATGATTCAGCCATTTGTGGGAATGGAATTGGTGGGATATATGCTCTCTTGTGATATCAAAATAAAGTTCAAGAGCCTTTCTTTGAAGAGCTTTAACATTCCCATGCTTTGTAACAGGGTTATCAAATTAAAGCAAGTAGGTCACTTGTGCATCAAACATGCCTCTTACTATTCCTGTGAATATCTGCGCAGATGTTATCGAGCTGTAGAAACCAGAGAAGCTATCTTTGTACGTGCTTATTGGAGTCAAGATTTTGATGAGTAATATTTCTGCTGCCTCCACGAGGAGGTCTCGGCTTCTTACGGCTTCTAATACTCCCTTCTTGACCCATTCCCCCTCTTCCCGTTCTTCCAGTCTGGGGCTAGACGGGGTTCTGTGCTGGACAGCTGTTGCTCCTGATCTCTGTTAGCACCCAAGGCAGGCTGGAGGGAGAATCCTCTTGTGGCTGAGTGTAGAAATGAGAGGAGAAGGTAAGGGGTGAAAGCTGACATTTATAGAGGACCGAAACTGGCGCTGTGAAGCTGCTGGCTAGAACTGGGTGGCATAAGCAGGAAAAAAGCAAATGCAGTAAGGAATAAGGGGAAGAAAGGGGGTTGTTTGAGCTAAGTAAAGACCTGTAAAATAACCACAGGAATTGAGGATGGAAACAGGGTCGAGAAAACTCTCTGAACTACTTTGTTAGCCCAAGCGCTGTAGGTCTTTTTAACGTTTCTTTCTATTGCTATATTAAGAAACAGAGTAATAGATCATTAGCTTTGGCAAACTGATGCACTAGTAATGCTGGGATTTATTTTTCATATCACATGAGTACTGCTAGTCAGCTGCTCTGTCCACTTGAACCTGAGTCCTATTGAGTGTGCAGACGTAGTGACAAGTCTGGACCTCCTGCCCTCGTCGTGATGATGCCCATTTTGTCTCCACAGCACGTGTTTTGTGAAGAATGCCTCTGCCTCTGGTTTGACAGAGAGAAGACCTGTCCCCTTTGTCGTTCTGTCACAGTAGAAACCCTGCGTTGCTGGAAAGATGGCACCACCTCTGCTCATTTCCAGGTGTATTAAAACCAATATGTACTGACAAATGGGATAATACATGCGGAGAGAAGAAAAAGCTGGAAAATCTGGTGATCCCGTGCCCCTATATAGTTGCCTGTGGATTTGTTGTCTTTAGTCTTTCTTCCAGCTCTGTTTCTCAAGGAGCCAATAGAACAACAATTGTTACTAGACAGAAATTTTATCCTCAAAGGCAAGAAAGATGTGTTTTATGTTATGGCAAACTCCATGGTTAAACTACAGCCACAATTTTTTCTTGGTTATAAACTGCCTGGGATGTTTCCTTTGCTTCTGTCCTTTTAGTATAGCTAAATATTGCATGTATAAGGAAAGCGTACTGTGAATTGCATGTGTATAACCTGGTATACTGGAAGAAAGCTGTCCTCCTCCGGCTCAGACCACTGGTGAGTTTTTTCATGTTAAATGGCCCTAGCTTCCCTGAATCTGTAACTTCATAGTATTACACTCTTGCTGTTATACTACCTTTGAGAACTCTTCCAAAACACTGCTTCAGAACCGCCTGCCCAGAATTTATCTGGGGTTGGAGAAACGTCGTTTCCCAGCAGCCATGTTTTTGCAATTGATTCCACAAATTGCACATGTTGCCGTCTTCATAAAATCTCAAGGAACTTGGGAAAGACCATGCTAGTGAAGCTGGAAATGACACTTGCTTTTCTTGGGAGTTTTACCTCTTTAATTTTCATGATCAGACTTCCTGATTTCCCAGCATATGGAGAGAGCAGTGGGAGGCAAGGAGGGATTAAAGTCAAGTTTGATTTGACTGGGTGAAAAGTTGAGGTCCTGACCAAGAGCATCTCCCAGATTCAAGTGTATCTGCAATATGTTCCTCAGCACAGCCACTTGAGGTGAGGCTTACTGGCTATAAAACCAGCATCCAGAACCTGCCTGGGTCCAAAACCAGAAAAAAATGTGCTCAACGCAGCACCGAACCCATACAGCACTGTTGATACCAGAAATGCTGGGGCATCAGGATACAGGGCCCCCTGGAGAGACTCCGTTTAGTGAGATTTATGAGCTTGAGGGCAGAATTATACAGAAGCAGCTGCATTGCTTCAGGAGCCAGCCTGGTTTATACACAAGCTGGATAATGCACCTGTGATGGTGGAGACTTGATTGTAACACCTCTGCTTCAGAAAAAGCTCTTCAAGGACGTACCTTGTACTGTTAACAGGCGAATTAACATACTTTATATTGCTGCATTTTCCATCTCTGCAGCAATATAAAGCATCTGGGGGTGCTGCAGTGGCACTTGCATGCAAATGGAGTTGCTGTTTGTTCGCTGGACCTTTCTCTTTCACTAAACCTCTGCTTTTTGCTGCACACCCAGAGAAGGTGCCTCATTAGGCGATTGTGGCATCTTCCATGCTCATTACTATGGAAATAGCCGTAAGGTTATAATCCCACTTGAGTGGATAATCAGGAAGAACTCTACCTGGGGGAAATGAGCCTATGTGTGTGTACTGGCTGCCGCCTTCCTCTCCTGCTGGGAAACTCCACAGGGAGAAGAATTAAAGCAAACAGGAGCTATTGGTAACAGGATTAAGGCTCAACATTTCTTTGGAAATAATAGTTAAGCATGGCTAGAAGAGAAATGATGAGAGGCAGAGCCTGAGCAGGGAAGATAGTGGTCCAAAACTGGCTTGAGAGTTACAGGGAAGAAGAAGAGGAAAAGCTTTACTTTCCAAAACAAAGTGATTTGATTCTGGTCAAATGGATCCCGTGGAAGTGGAGAGCTAAGCCAAGGAATCCAATGGCTGTCTCCAATGGGAGTAGCCTTCTGGGGATGGGGGAGAGAGTTCAGTAAGGAAGGAAGCAAAGTTATCAGTGGGCATAAAAATGTTGGTATGTGCAATAGCCTGGTGTATTCACCAGGAAGAGGGAAGATTACTGATTCTGTGGGCAGGCGGTTTATGAAAGGTTTCAGCCTCAGTTTTCAGTGCAGTGCCAGTTAATCAAGGGGTTGGTGGTATCTGCTTTCAAAATGTTGGAAAAGCCACTTCTAATTCTGACTTTTTTTCTAAATGCTCCTGGAAAATGTCTTTGGAGAAGTGTATGAAAAGGCCAATATGAGCCTAACACCACAGACACCATTTGGTACACCATTTGAAAATGATTTTTTTTAATTTGATGATAAGGCAATCACAGGGAAAGTACGGGGGATGATTTTTGCCATTCTTGTAGTCCTTTTTCTTTTTTTTTTTTCTTTATTGAATGAGGTTTCCCGGTTGTCAGTGTAAGGAAGAGGGGACTATCATCGTCATATACTTGAAACACATTGCTACAGCCCAAGGACTCAGGCAGATCACACAGTAAGACTTCATACCAGCACACAGTGGAAGAATTGCCGTCTACCTCGGATGTTTTTGGTACCTATGTAAGAATCCCTGCATCAGCATCATAATTTTCTAAAGAATTTCTAATGATTAATTTTTCTTTTGCTTCATCTCAGTCATCCCTTCTTGATTTTTGCTTTCCCTCACTATAAGGCAGCGTTCTGGTCCCTGCACAGGCTCCTCTGGGGATGTGCCTCAGTGGTATCCGACACCCGTGCGCAGGTAACCCGTTGCAGTTCTCCTTTGTCTCAAGAGAAATCCAGGAAAGCTGTTGTTCGGGTAACCTTTGAGACAGGCTTCTGTTGCTGCTCAGATACCTCGGTGACAAAATGCAGCATCGCGACCTGTACGTGAGGCCTTCGTTATGGGAAGAGCCCGTGTCTGAGAGGGTGCCTGAGACTTGTAGGGCCATCCAGCGCTCCACTTCTCCGTTAAAATTAATTAGTGCTAAACAGAAGGTGAAATTTTATGTTGTGGGTATTTATTCTACCGGAAGCATAACAAAGATCAGCTTAATTCCTGCAAGATTAAAGAATTTACTGCAGGCCACTATTACATAGCTGTTAGATTAAACCAGTATCCTTCAGTCGCTAGTCTCCTGGGCTGGACGCTGTGGAAGAAACAGCTCTGTGCTGTTAGCCGTCTGTCCAACCCTCCCTCCTCGGGTAGGTTATGGTGATGGTTTTGTGAGGCAGGACGATTCTACCCTCTCCTAGAACCAGAAAATATCCAGGGGAAACTTCAGTTCTAAGGACAACTGATGAGAAACTTGGGTTGATTTCCGTGGGAAAGCAGTTAGGGTTGTGGAAAGAAATTCTCTCAAATTTCAGAGAGGAAATAAAAACTGGAGCCTTGTTTTGCCATTGAACAGTTATTTTTCTTTTTTTTAATAAAGTCATTATAAATATGTACAAAGAGTCTCAGCAATATGAAATTCCTTTTACAAAAGAGAGAAGCCACATCCAACCATAAACAGGAGCCTTCATGAACTCGTATCAGCAGTGAGCATAGGCTTTGCTCTTGCTTTGGTGAGGGTGGAAACTTGCACAGTGACTCTGCAAGAGTTTACATCCAAATAGTACTAAATCGGTAATGTGCAAGGAACTGTGTATTCACCGCATGTCACCCATTTTATTCTGTTAGCAATGCACCTGGGAGCAGACTGGAAAATTCACAAATGTCCTAAAGGACTAAAGGTGATGGGGAGATTTTTTCTTGTGATAAATTGTGGTCTTCAAATTGGTTGGAAAGGTTATGCTGTGAATACCCATGAAAACGAAATCCCATTGTAGCTGGTTTTGCTCTCTACTTAGATAGCATCTGTAACTAATAATGGATGTAACTAATAATGGCAGTTCAATACCCAGATGCTTTCTGTGAATATTTGTCAAGCTCCAAACTCACTGCCTGTAAATATTAAAAAACTTCTGAAATTCAAGTATTCATGCAGAGTGAATGCGGAAGAAGTCTGACCGGAGTTACATGAAAATTCACTCTTGTATTCAAATAAATAGTCAGAAAAAAAAATATTCACCTGTTTTGTATTTTGTGGTTTTAAAATTTCTCTTGCAGATGAGGAATGGAAATTCTGCAGCTTTGGCTGGAGCAGTCAGCTCCAACCCACAACTGCTAAGAGCAGAGCTGTTGTTTGGAAGACCCGCGGGCGGGAGTGCGTTTGGGGTATGTGCTGACGGAGATCCTGCTTGTGCAGATGGCGCGTGATTCAAGCCAGTGGCATGGGCAGAGGGAAGAAGCACGGGAGTGTCTTTTGCTGGCAATGTGCTGGATCTACCTGTGCTGTGAGCAAAGACAGCCTTCTGAATGAAAAGGGCGTGCGCGTTCAGACAGGACAGTTAGAAGATTGAGGCGGGAGCGGCATGTGAGGATTCCTCCGCTCCGTTCAGACTAGCTGAGGTACTAGCGTTTTCCTAAGGAGGACCAAGTCCCACGTTATTTAGACTTCCCTAGGCTTCTGGATGTTGAATTAACGTGGCCAGCGTCTCCTAACCTGTCGTACCGAGATCAGCAAGTTTAGTTCAGCATACAGCAAGTACACAACAACAGTGCCTTGCAAAGGGTTATGCAAGAATGAGGCTGATTTTGAAGCTTGGATTCAAAATCAAATTTCCTGTAAGCACATTTGCTCTAAGAAAAGTTGTGAAGATCTTGTTCACCTGCTTTGGAGGTAGAATATAGCCAGGAGGTTTCGACATGGACGAAATAAAAATGTCGGTCCAGGATTTAATGTGGAGCCACAGGTGGTTTGTTACATACCTCAGACTTCTGTTAAGATCATGGACAGATGTTTTAAAACCATTTGTAGGAAAATTAAAATTAAACATTAAGGTAGATGTGCTAGTCTGTCCTCATCGTGAACCATTTTGTACATAGCAGTGCAGTTTTTTAGAAGGGAAGGATCTTCAGTTTTGCTCCCCCATTCTCCCTTGCCGCCTGCTCCGCTGCCCGCTCAGCCTACGAGGACAACGGCGGTGGCAGCAGGGAAAAGTGCCCGATTCCAAGGTGTATATGGAGACAGAAACTGCACCGGTTTAACCAAATGGGTTTGTAACCAATTTCATTAGAAGGTGCTGTTTCTGCTTTCGCAGTGGATTTAAGACCCTTAGAATTTTAGCATGATCTAGAAACAAAGCAAAT